TGGCCTCCCATGCAAGTCATGGGGGTCCAAGCAGTCAGACAAGAGGGCACTCCGTGGATCTTTTTCACATAACCACCTCTCTATTTTTGGCATCTGCTGTGGAGGTTGATTGGATCTGTGAGTCTCGTACCTAATTTCATTAGCACATGGCTGTCCAGCCACACCCTTGGCATTCTCTCCCAATCTGAGGTACTGAGGGTTAAGTACTTCAGTGTAGCAGTTTGGGGAAGGACGGTTCGGACACAATTCACAGCTGAAATATTTCTGTACTTAAGCTAAGATTTTATCCCAATTTTGGTATATCTGACCAGTCTTATTAAAGCTACATTTTGTAAGACCAGAAATGAGTCTTTTCAAAACCAAAAGTTTGGTGTGAGGACAGAGAAAGTAGGCTAGCCGGGAGACAGGGGAGGTCTATGTGTGCAGAAACCTGCACCTCTTCGCCTCCCGCTGCCCGTGCAGGTCATTTCCGCCCAGGCCCACCCAGGCCTAGCAATGTCCCAGCACTGCCCCCTGGTGGAGCCCTCCCCACGGGCTGCAGGAAGGGCATGTGACTTGACTCCCTCAGCGCCCTGCAATCTTGTCTCCTCTGGTCCCAAAAGTGTATCCTGCCTCTGCTTTGTGATAGATTTCTTCCTGCCTTTTGCATGGAAATTTTATCTCTGGTTCTTGCAGACATTATTTACAGCTGTCTAATTTTTTCTCTCTACCTCACAGCTGCCAAACTAAAGTAGGTGGGAAGCCATTTTCCCTCTCTAGGTCAGTGAATAACCCCCGTTCTCCACCCGCGCTTTTGAAGATTCCAGCACTGCTGCCAAGTCAACCCATCTGCAGCAAACGCTTTGGAAAAAACAGACTTTAAAAAGAGAAGCAAATTGCTCTTAGCCCCTGATAGCCTCTCCACAGGAGAGGGAATAGGGACAGAGCTGAGGTTCAAGACACATGTGCTGTTTGAGCTGAATCTGTGCTATTTTCTTTTTTCCGTGGTTACCCAACAACGAAGGCGTGTTGTACCTTCTTGCCTTCAACCCTGTTCCTCCTCCCGTCAGATGTCCTTACTCCTCAACTTTAAGTTTTCCTTCATAGGATTTCTGAGAAGGACTTTGGAAAAAGTGCTCCAGATCTCTGCCAGTTCCTTAGCCATGAAAATCAAACATAAAAGACCATCTGGGGACATTCGTTCAGAGCACGTTACCCACATTCCACCACCACTATTCTGACAGCACAAAACATATACCAGGAGCTGGGGGTTATGTGGTGGGGAAGTCCTTCCTATTGTAAGCCCTAGCATTATGACCCTCTGGGGTTAAATTTCATAATTTACATATTGTGGAGTCCCATATTTTGTTCTACTGCTTTCCACTAGTCCAGGCTTCTGAAGTCTTCTCTGTGTTCACTGCTTATTAATTTTATTCAACAAAGATTAATTGAGCTCCTGCAATGAGACACACACCCTATGTTAGGTGCTGGGGATATAATCAGGAACAAAACAGGGAAGGGCCCTACCCTCAGAAAGCTTGCAATTTATGAAAGAATACTAACAAAACCTGCAAAGCGGTATTTTAAGTTATTTTGTTTCATTTTTGCTATTGAAACAAAGAAACTGAGAATTTGGTAAGATTCAAAAAATGTTTAGGTACAAGAAAAAGAAAAAAGCAAGAAGCACTTGCCAGATTTAACTGTAATTCCTAAAAATGATGAACATTTTCATCTTCAGGAACATGAAACATCATTGACTATTCTCTACAGACGATAGGCAAAGGGTCTTACTGGTCCAGTACGTACAAGTCCTTCAGGAAGAAAAACATGATTCTACCAGGATTGGGTTGAATAGAGAGAGAACTGCAGTTTAAGATTCATGAGTATGGAAATTAACAGTTCTTCTGTCTAATAAACTCTCTAGGACCTTTAAAAAAAAAATGGCTTTTTAAAATCCAAAGTCCTTGCCTTGGGAAGGGACAGGACTAAAGTAAAAATAAATGAAGTCTGTTTGAAACTCATGAGTTGCACACCTCATGTTGCCAGAAGCTAGTTTAAAAAGCAGTCTAGCTGGGGTTTCCACACAAACTCAGCAAGTCATGAATCAACTTGCAGGCTTGTCTCCCAGAGGCCATAGGAGCTGGGTGTGTCCCAGAGATGCTGTGTCCTGATTCTGTGGAAAGGGTGGGGAAGAGAGGTCACAGAGGATGTTTCTGGAGAAAGTTGTGCATGGCTTTCCTTCTTAGCTAGGAGGGAAACGGGGGTGTGTCAGGAGAGTGAATGGGAGAAGTGAGGGCAGATGAGTGGATGTGTGAGTAGTGTTAGCACTCCAGATTAAACAAACTGCTCGTAGTTTAATCTGATGCTCAAATAAAACACTTTGCCTGTATTTCTAGGTATGGAAGAAGAGAAAGAAAAGCCTAAATTGGAATGAGATCCAAGCCTAAACGCAAGAGCTGGATTGAGCCGCCATTGAAGACTCATTCCCCTCCGGCATTGGCAGTGGGGGAGAAAAGGCTTCAAAGGAACTGGTGGCATCAGCACCCCCCGCCCCCAATGAGGACACCTTTTATATATAAATATGTATAAACACAGAATACAGTTGTTTCCAAAAGAACTCACCCTCACTGTGTTTTAAAGAATTCTTCCCAAAGTCATTATTGATAATAACATTTTTTCCTTTTCTAGTTTTAAAACCAAAATTGGAACTTGGATTTTTATTTTGGCAATTGTAACTCCATCTAATCAAGAAAGAATAAAAGTTTATTGCACTTCTTTTTGAGAACTATGTTAAAGTCAAAGGGGCAGATGTAGAGTAAGGCTTTTGTGTATTTAGTTCTAAAGGTGGCTGTAATCATGAACCTAAGCCACCATAGGGACCTGAGAGGAAAGGGGACAGATGTTTCTCATTGCAATAATGTTACAGTTGCCTCAAATGAGCACTATTTGTAATAATGATGTCAATTTCATGAAAAGCCTGAGTGTATTGCATCTCTTGATTTAATCATGTGAAACTTTTCTTAGATGCAAATTCTGACTTTAATAAAGACGAAGCCACTCTGAACCTGATGTCTGCATGGTGCATCTCAAAATCCTAACAGCATTGGTGTCTCCTTTTTGTTTTTATTACCTGTTGAAAATGGGTTTACTGAACGTGGTTCTTTTCTATAATTTTCGGATTTTAAAAAATGTGAATCTTTTTGATAACTCCAAAACAATTTTTTTTCTTTTTTTTTTTTCAGACAGAGTCTCGCTCTGTTGCCCAGGCTGGAGTGCAGTGGCGCAATCTTGGCTCACTGCAAGCTCTGCTTCCTGAGTTCATGTCATTCTCCTGCCTCAGCCTCCTGAGTAGCTGGGACTTCAGGCACCCCCCACCACGCCCGCCTAATTTTTTGTATTTTTAGTAGAGACGGGGTTTCACCGTGTTAGCCAGGATGGTCTCGATCTCCTGACCTCGTGACCCACCCGCCTCGGCCTCCCAAAGTGCTGGGATTACAGGCATGAGCCACCACGCCCGGCCACAAAATTGTTTTAAAAAAACTATTTTACAAAGTCTTTGACCATAATTATTTTTAAGATGAAAAATATAATGTTATATAAATTATAAAATGTTACTTAACACAAATATAAGTATTGATTGCCCAATGTTGAGAGAGATCAACAAATGATATAAAACCATTCACTCCAAAATTAGAATTAAATTTTAAAATTAAAAAATGAAAAACATTAAACTTCAATTTGAAAAAAATTTAAACTCAAAAAATTTAATTAAAAATTACAGTTACATTTAAATGTAATCAAATGCTAAAAATCTCTCTTTCTTCCTTCTCTCTGTCTCTCTTTCTCCCACACACATTCACTCTATATGCCCCATTTCTAAAAGCATAATTGATAGAAATATAGAATGCATCTAGCAGCGTTACCATATTAGTTTCCTAACTCATGGAGTTGGAACTGTTAAGTAGGAAAAGTCAAGCAGAAATCCACCAAAACAGAAAAGCACAGCAATACCACACCCTTGGAATGACTGCTGCCATTAGTGCAGGATCAAAGACTTGAAAGATCCAGAGTTGGTTTCCATCACAACTACACATATCTTACCTGTCTGACCTCTATTATGGGTTACGCTGTGGTAGTGTGTCCCCCTAAAATTTATATATTGAGCCCCTAACCCCCTAGTGCCTTAGAATAGGACTGTTTTGGGAGACAGGGCCTTTAAAGAGGGGATTAAGTTAAAATGAGGCCATTAAAATGGGCCCTAATCCAATCTGAGTAGGGTCTTTGTAAAAAGGGGGAATTTGGACACACAAAGGGACACCAGGAATGTCCATACACAGAGGAAAGACCATGTGAGGGCATGGGAAGAAGGTGGCCAACTGCAAGCCAAGGAGAGAGGACTCAGAGGACCCAAACCTGCCGATGCCTTGATCTTGGACTTCTAGCCACCAGAACTTTGAGAAAATAAATTCATATGGTTTAAGCCACCAGTCAGTGGACTGACATTTTGCTATGTCAGTAACAGCAAATTAATATGATCTATGTACAAAAGATTGATGAATTTTGGAGAATGATAAATTATTGTAAGCTTACTTAGGCGGTGGCTCCACTGATATCAGTGTTTCCAGAAATCATTTTGCCTTCTGGAAACAGAAGGCAATACAAAACAATACAAAAACCACACACACACACACACAAATACAATCCCTGGGATATCGGATGAAGGCGCTAAAATTTTCTTTCTTTTTTTTTTTTCTTTGAAATGGAATTTTGCTCTTGTTGCCCAGGCTGGAGTGCAGCGGCACCATCTCGGCTCACTGCAACCCCGCCTCCCAGGTTCAAACGATTCTCCTGCCTCAGCCTCCCAAGTAGCGGAGATTACAGGCATGCACCACCATGCCCTGCTAATTTTGTATTTTTAGTAGATATGGGGTTTCTCCATGTTGATCAGGCTGGTCTCAAACTCCCCACTTCAGGTGATCTACCCACCTTGGCCTCTCAAGGTGCTAGGATTGGAAGCGTGAGCCACTGTGCCCAGCCTAAAATTTTCTTTCAGCGGGAAAACGGAGTGGCGAGGCTGGGCGCAGAGAGGCTGGGGCTGTGGTCCAGCGTGGGCTCCACTGGTGGGCAGCAGCAGCTGCGAGGAGCCCACTGAGGCCCTAGCCCAGCCGCAGCTGCTCAGACGCAGCTTTAACTAATTAATTCAGGAAAAAATGTGGATTCAGAAAAGAACCCAGTGAGGTTGGACCCCGAAGATCAGACACGGGACAAGTGGTGAAGGATACAAAAGAAGTGCTTTGATTCCTCTGGTGGAAGAAACATGTCTTTTATCTTTCTCCCTGTCCTATAAGGACTCTCCTAAAACCTTTATTTTTTTACTGTTGGGTTTACAGGCTGTGCATTTGGATCAGCTGCTATTTGGCAATATGAATTACTGAAATCCAGGGTCCAGAGTTATTTCGATGGCATAAAAGCTGATTGGTCGGATAGCATAAGACCACAAAAAGGAGACTTCAGAAAAGAGATTAACAAGGGGTGGAATAACCTAAGTAATGGCCAGCGGACTCAGGTATCATAGCTGCAAATGTCCTTGTTTTCTGTTTATAGAGAGTACCTTCTCTGCAGTGGACAGTGATCAGATATTTCACATCTAATCCAGCCTCAAAGGTCCGTTGTTCCCCAATGTTGCTGTCAACATTCAATCATTTCTCCTTATTTCACATGGCAGCAAATATGTATGTTTTGTGGAGCTTCTCTTCCAGTATAGTGAACATTTTGGGTCAAGAGCAGTTCATGGCAGTGTACCTATCTGCAGATGTTATTTCCAATTTTGTCAATTATATGTGTAAAGTTGGCCAAACGAAGATATGGACAATGACATGATGCATCTCGCGCCACCGTGATGATCCTCGCAGCCGTCCACACTAAGATCCCGGAAGGGAGGCTTGCCATTATTTTCTTCCAATATTCACATTCACGGCAGGAAGTGCCCTAAAAGCCATTAATGCCATGGATACGGCAGGAATGATCCTGGGATGGAAATTTTTTGATTATGCAGCACATCTTGGGGGAGCTGTCTTTGGAATATGGTATGTTACTTACAGTCCTGAACTGATTTGGAAGAACAGGGAGCCTCTACTGAAAATCTGGCATGAAATGAGGACTAATGCCCCGCCCTCCCACCCCACAAAAAAGAGGTGGCTCTAAGTAAAACTGGGATTGCACAGTGCTGGTGCCTCTGGCTTGTGCTGCCTGAGAGCCCTAGGAGACATTGGCCCTAGAGTGATCACAGCTATGCTCCCACCTGGAAGACGCCAGCATCTGGCCTCCCAGTGTTTTCAGCTGTGTCCCCCGGTCCATGTCTTTTCAGAAAGTGAATATGACATAGTTGTGAAATAAAGGTTTACATCTAGTTTGTAAAAAATAAAAAAGTAAAAATAAAAATAAATTTCTTTTACCTTGCAAGGATAGCATAACGCCCTCACTATATTTTCTCAAGGCTATTTCTCTGTGTATGTGTGTGTGTGTGTGTGTGTGTCTGCAAGTGTTATAAATATTTTTATTATTTTATTTTAACTTTTAAGTTCAGAAGTACACGTACAGGTTTGTTTTATAGGTAAACTTGTATCATGGGGGCTTGTTCTATGGATTATTTTGTCACCCAGGTATTAAGACCAGTACTCATTAGTTGTTTTAATAAATAAATAATAAATAAACAACAAATATAAAATGATCCTCTCCCTCGTCCCACTCTCCACCCTCTGAATGGTCCCAGTATATGTTGTTCTGCTCTATGTGTCCATGTGTTCTCATCATTTAGCTCCCATTTATAAGTGAGAATATGCAGTATTTGATTTTTCTGTTCCTTCATTAGTTTGCTAAGGATAATGGCCTCCAGCTTCATCCCTGTTCCTGCAAAAGACATGATCTCATTCTTTTTTTATGGCCACATAGTATTTCATGGTGTATATGCACCACATTTTCTTATCTAGTCTACTATTAATGGGCATTTAGGTTGAGTCCATGTCTTTGCTATTGTGAATAGGGCTGCAGTGAACATATACATGCATGTGTCTTTATAATAGAATTATTTCTATTCCTTTGGTGATAGACCCAGTAATGGAATTGCTGGGTAGAAGGGTATTTCTGTTTTTAGGTCTTTGAGGAATCACCGCACTGTCTTCTGAAATACTTGACTAATTTACGTTCCCACCAACAGTGTAGAAGCGTTCCTGTTTCTCCACAACCTCATCAGCACCTGTTATTTTTTGACTTTTTAATAATACCCATTCTGACTGGTGTGAAATTGTTATCTATCTCACTGTGGCTTTGATTTGCATTTCTCTAATGATCTGTGATACTGAGCTTTTTTTCATAAGATTGTTGACCAAATGTATGTCTTCTTTTGAAAAGAGTCTGTTCATGTCCTTTGGCCACTTTTTAATGGGGTTGTTTGCTGCTTATAAATTTATTTAAGTTCCTTATAGGTGCTGGATATTAGACCTTTGTCAGATGCATAGTTTGCAAATGTTTTCTCCAATTCTCTAGGTTGTCTGCTCAGTCTGTTGACAGTTTCCTTTGCTGTGCAGAAGTTCTTTAGTTTAATTTGATCCCATTTGTCAGTTTTTACTTTTGTTGCAGTTGCTTTTGGTGTATTCATCATGAAATGTTTGCCCAGTCCTATGCCCAGAATGGTATTGCATCCATTGTCTTCCAGGGTTTTTATAGTTTTGGGTTTTTCATTTAAGTCTTTAGTCCATCTTGAGTTAATTTTTCTATATAGTGTAAGGAAGAGGTCTGGTTTCAGTCTTCTGCATATGACTTGCCAGTAATCCCAGCACCATTTATTGAATAGAAAATCCTTTCCCCATTGCTTGTTTTTTTTTGTCAGGTTTGTCGAAGATCAGATAGTTGCAGACATGTGGTCTTACTTCTGCATTCTGTATTCTGTTCCATTGGTCTATGTGTCTGTTTTTGTCAGTACCATGCTATTTTGGTTACTGCAGCCCTGTGGTATAGTTTGAAGTCAGGTAGCATGATGCTTCTAGCTTTATTCTTTTTGTTTAGGATTGCCTTCTGAAGGTTATTTCAATCATGGCTTTATATCATGATTTAGTCCACAGTGACCTTGTTTGTCTAACTGTCCCATGGGAAATCAAGTTTTTATTACATTGATTATATCACACTGCTTGAAGAATTCAGCAAGTACCCTAGATAACTTGAGAAGACACAAGCATGCTAGAGGGCAATAGATAAATGGCCCCCTTTCAAAAAAAACTGGGCCATCTACCTTTGTGAAGTTTCTAGGGCTCCAGTGATCTGAATGAGACATGTCAATATATACCCTCTAAAGTAAAATCAAATTGTTTCATTTTGCATGCATTACTACTATGAAAGAGGCACATTGCTTGGTATGTCTTATTAGATTTTGAAGGAAGCGTATGTCGCATCGAGTGTGCTGTTCTTATCCTTAGATCACAACCAGAAAAAAATTAGAGTTATAAAAATTATAACAAAAAATCTAAAATCATTACAATTTGCTGATGAATGATTTTTTTTTTTTTTTTTTTTTTTTGAGACAGAGTCTCACAGTGTCGCCCAGGCTGGAGTACAGTGGTGCAATCTTGGCTCACTGCAACCTCCCCCTCCCAGATCCAAGCGATTCTCCTGCCTCAGCCTGCCAAGTAGCTGGGATTACAGGCGCCCATGACCACACTCAGCTAATTTTTTGTATTTTTAGTAGAGACGGGGTTTCAGTATGTTGAACAGGCTGGTCTCAAACTCCTGACCTTGTGATCCACATCTATTACTGCCAAAAAACCATCTCAAAACTTAGTTGCTTAGAATATTTATTTTGCAAATGAATTTGCAACTTGGGCAGGACTTGGTGGCCTGAGCTTGTCTATGTGCCGCTGGTTATCTGCTGGGGTGACTTGAAGGCTGGTGGCTAGAATCCTCTGAAGTTTCGCTCACTTATATGCCCAGTGATTGCTGCTGGTGGTTGACTGAGGCCTCAGCTAAGGCTGTGATTGGAACAATGATATGTGGCCTCTTCACATTGCTTCTCCACTTCACCCCATGTGACTGTGTGTCTTTTCCATGTGGTTGCTTGGCCTTATCACAATGTGGTGCCTGGATCTTAGCAGGCCCAATGAAAAGTTTTTATTTAATATGATTTAGAGTCAGAAGTCACATAGTATCACTTCTGCTGCAGTCATAGTCTGGCCTAATTTCAAGGAAAGGGAATATAGATTCCCATGTCTTGATGGGAAACTATCAATGTTACATTGTAGAAAGAATATATGTGATGACCAGATATTGGTGGCTAGATTTGGAAACTACAATCTGTTACACACATCCAAAACAATAAACTGAAAGCTGACTTTGAAATTAAGATAATAAGGTTATAGAGTACAAATACATGCAAATCCATAGTTTTATTATACATAAGATGTAATGGGATATAATGGAAGAAAAGGACCCTTTGTAATAGCAACAGCTTTATAAAAAAATTTTTGAGGCCGGGCGCGGTGGCTCAAGCCTGTAATCCCAGCACTTTGGGAGGCCGAGGCGGGCGGATCACAAGGTCAGGAGATCGAGAACACAGTGAAACCCCGTCTCTACTAAAAATACAAAAAATTAGCCGGGCGCGGTGGCGGGCGCCTGTAGTCCCAGCTACTCAGGAGGCTGAGGCAGGAGAATGGCGGGAACCCGGGAGGCGGAGCTTGCAGTGAGCCGAGATCGCGCCACTGCACTCCAGCCTGAGCAACAGCATGAGACTCCGTCTCAAAAAAAAAAAAAAAATTTTGAAACTATTAAATGATGCAAAAGAAGGTTTGAAGAAATGGAAACACATACCATGTACTTAGAAAGCAAGAGTGTATCATAGATACCAAGTTCCAGGTTAATTTATTATTCAAAAATACAAACCTCTGTTTTTTATTTATATGCTTATTTTTGAAACTAGACAAGTTAATCTTTAAGATCATAGATAAAAATTAACAAGCAAGAATTGATAGGAAAGCTCTGAGTTAAAAAAGCAATGAGAAAGAACTAGAAGACTAGCCCAACCAAGTATTAAAACATATTATAAAGGCCTCATTTAATAAAGCAGTAGGAAATTGACTATGAATACACCAACTAATAGAACAAAATAGGAAGAACAATAATAGAAATGAATACATGTAGGAATTTGGAATATAATAAAAGTTGTACCTCAAATCAGCAAGGAAGGATAGGTTTTTCAATATCATTAGGACAACTGGAAAGTGATCTGGATAAAAAAAGTTGGATCTATATCTTGCATCTTTTACCCTGACATATTTTTACAAATGGTTTATCTTCCTAATATATATAGAGATCCTTAAAAAAGAAAGAAAACAATAACCTAATAGGAAAATAATGGCAAGAAAACACGAATAATTCAGAGTAAAACAAAGTATCTCTTAAACAAATGAAAAGAATGCAACTTCAATCATAATAAGAAAAGGTACATATTAAAGCCACACTGAATATCATTTATATCTATTGGATTGACAAAACTTCTAGCCTTTGACCACACGTTCTACTGAATAAGAGTATAGACACTTTCATAATTGCTTGTGGAAGTACAAACAGGCACAATCCTTATAGAAAGGAATTTGTCTATATCTTTTAAGATTACAAATGCACAAATCATTTAACCTAGCAGTTCTATTACTCAGAACTTATGCTAACTCATATTTCCACATATGTTAAGCTTATTAATTGCAGCAAAGTTTGTAATAGGAAAAAATGGAAACAATTGAAATGTTAATAATAGGAAACTGCTTTTAGAAATTATGATGCCTCCACTTAATGACTACTGTATAAAGGAGGAGCTGTAAAAAGAAGGAAGAAGGGAGAAAAGAAATGATGACATTCTGTGCGCTGATATTGAAAATTTTCTAAAAATCAACTTTAAATTCTAAAAAGAAATATGTTGAATAGTGTGTATAGCATGCCACTTTTCAAAAAGGGTGGGGGGAGATAAAAGTGGATTTTTGCTTGTATGCACATAAGAAAACTTTAGAAGGATACATAAAAGTGTAAAAAGTTGTCCATTTAAATGGTACAGGGGAAAACAGGACTGATAAAATGGAAATAGAATTGGTGGGAGATTGTTCATTATGCATGTTATTTTTTTATTTTTGAAAAAATTATATTACCTGTTCTAAAAAAGGTAGTTAATAATCTTAAAACTAACTCTTTGAGGAAGGAAAAGTATGTTAAAGAGGAAAATTTAAAAGGGATTGCAATTTATTCAGGAAATAATGGCACAATATCTCATAATTAAACTTAATGAATGTGGCCAAAGCTATACACAGAAAAAATATATAGCCTTAGATTTTATTTTTACACAAAACTAAATGAAGAAAACAAACTACATATTCAGCAGAAGAAGTAGAAAACAAAACCAAATCATAGAGATATATGAGGAAATAATA